AATAGAAAGCAAATGGCCCCCCAGAGACCGAGTCCAAGGATGGCCAGCACTTACCTTGAAACAGTGGGGAGGGGGGTTCCCACATCTCAAGAGACCCAGAACACCACTGTCCAAGTGGACATCAGCGAAAGAACTGACCAAGGAAGATGGCTGCATGAGGAAACTGGGCTGCCTGGTAATGCCATTCAGTACAGTACTAAGAGTTTCACACAAATTTTTAATGTTTCTCTTGTTCTTTGTAAATTGTTTGTGAAGTTGTTTGGCAGTTTCGAGGGTTCTGTCTTTGTTAGCCCTCCAGTTGTCTGTTAAACTACGCTGACTTTCTGGATACTTTTTTTGATGTGGTGTCACTTGCTTTCTTTGCCTCTGTGAGGGGGCCACATCATCAGCTGATGTGACCCATTTGCATGGTGCAATCTATGAGAGGTAGCTTCGGGGAACCACTGGGGACTTCCCCAAAAAAATTCAGTAGAGGAACTTGGGAGAAGTCATTATACTGCAATTCATGGAGTACATGAATGTGTGGCCATGGTAAGAAGCAATACGAAGTGGTGCAAGTAGGAGATGAATGTAGATTTTTTAAAAATTGTTGCAGCAGAAGCCAAAGAGGATATAATTTTTCACCATCGAATAGGGCAAATGGAGAAAACAAAAATCAATACCGTTAAAATTCTGTTATTCAATTGACCCACAATTTCTGTTAGTGATTTTTTTTGCAGCTTTTTTGGTAATTTTTTGCTGCTTTGCCTTAATTAAAAATGTATGTTGACCAGACCACACACTTGAAAGTGAAGAGACGACAACGTTTCGGTCCGTCCTGGACCATTATCAACTCTATTATCACAATTTACTTGATAATGGTCCAGGACAGACCAAAAAGTCGTCGTCACTTCACTTTCTAGTGTGTGGTTTGGTCAACATTTTTCAGACACGTTATTGTGACTCTTCATCTGCATTAAAAATTTATATTTTAAGCCACTCCTAAAATGAAACAAAATAGCCAAACAAATTGCACAGACATGAAGTTAGGCAACTACCAGAGCAGAGAATATCACAACTATCAACAGATGGTCTACCCACCTTCCACCTAGTAGGCATGACCCCTTAACCTTCCCTCTCCAAGTCATCCACCTTTTCTCTCCCCTTTTCTTTCCCTTTCCTCTACCATCCTTCCCTCTCCACCCTTCCCTCTTCCCTTACTGCTAACATCATTTACCTCCCACTCAAGAACAACTAAACTTGCCTACACCGAACAACAACAACTTTCCAAGACAAAGTCCCCACTCTCACTACCTCAGAACCTTATGGAATGGGAAGATACAGAGGGCTGCCCAGAAAAGGGCACTTCCTTGCATTTAATGCTCTGCTTTTTAAGATGGCAGATGATCACCAGATGCATTTTTGAACGGAAAATGTAACTATAGATCCAACCGGATTTTTGAACAATACATGCTTGGAAGCATTTTCTGCAGGTAACTGGAGTGACGTATTACTTTATCATTTGCGGACAACAGGAGCAGCACGAGGGGGTTAATACCATAGTAAATATCATATTTGATGAAATACAGAACTGCACTGAACTATTTTAACACTTTCGCGCTCTCGGCGAAGGTCACTCAGCCAACCATATGTGCGCGCAGCGTTTTTATCGCTTAAGCGTAAAAACAAAAATGTGTATACTCTTTTTACTTTTCTGACCTTAGTTTTCATGCTACGTATTTCATTTTGGTACCAACGTGTTCGCAATAAAATTCTCTAGAAGAACATCAGTAAAAAAAAGTCACGAAAGCTATAGAGATACCAGCATGAAATAAATAACTACGAAGATGAGTCGCCGTGAGCGCTCAACAGCAACAAAATGTTTTTACTCTTGGGATTATTATCACCTCTACAATTGTCCTACAGCCTTAATTTTGGTATCAATGGACTCCCAATAAAATTCCCAACACGGTGATATGAATATAATCGTAGAATAATGGTCCCGGCCCACCCGCAAGAGTGTGGGAAGTGGGCGCACTGTTACCCGGTAACGGTGACCGGACGACACACGCGCGAAACGTTGCTTTGAAAGTTTATACTTATTTCACTGTTCTGATATTATTATTGTATGTATGTCATTCATTTTTGTGGCAATGTTTTTGCAATAGAATGTTCTATGAGCTAAATTATACTACACAAACTTGGACCAAATAGGTGTACTTACCAAGGGAAGGCTGGTTGTGGAACAGTAAGTTGAGCATTTGTTCTTCACTCCACCTTCTTCAGGTTCTTCATTCCTGAAGTTGCTCAACAGATGGTTTGTAGGTGGAGTGAAGCTGTTGCGGGTGGTTACTTCTTCACCACCCAATACACCTGTTTCCGGTGGTAATTGGTGTAGCAGGGAACAACACAGAGTGCAACACCACAGGTCTTGCATCCATAGTTCGTGTCCTTCCTTTTACCGGACCGTGCGCATGCATGACACTTGAGACGTTTGGGCAGTCTGTAAATTTCATGTTTCAGTTTGTAGTTCAAGCGATTTTCTGAATCAACAATAGGGCGGCCAGGTCCTCTCGCTGGAGGTGTAACAGGAGTTGCAGGAGAGTCAGATTCATCTGACAAAACAGTTTCGTCAACTGGCAGTGTGGCAGACATGTCGGGTTCAGATTCGTTGTCTGCTTCATCTTGAGGTGGTGTAGTGAACAAAGGCCGCCTCACACCAGATGGTCCAAGAGTTGGCATGGCGTCAGCATTGGCAGGAGCTGTGTCATCATTTATGTCTGGAGCGTGCCGCAAGTGTTGAGATGATGATGATGTTTTAGGCCACTCCTCTGTGTCCCAGTGCAATAGGGCCCAGATTGCCACTTCGTGGAACTGTAGCAATGTTAGCTTTTTTCGATCAGTTGTGTTGTATTTGTACGAAACATAGGCATTATGCAATGCCATTTGCAGGAAATAAAAGGTAATCTTTTTGGTCCACTTGTGAGTTTTCCTGGTAAAATGGTAATATTTAACCATTTGATCGAAGTGGTCCACACCTTTCATGAACTTATTGTACTCGCAAATTTCAGTCGGTTTGTTCACTGTTACCTGTTGTATTCCACTTGTTCCGTCTCGGTTGCGAATTCGCTTCCTTCGCTGAACTCGCCGAGTGTCTGCATTGTGGATGTTGGTAATGATTGAAACCACTCGCTTGTCTTTCCACAGGAGAATGAAGGTATTATCTTTGCAGCGGTATACTGTGGTATCCAGTGGAAGTTTACCCTTGGCTAGAGCTTGCAATACCTTTGGGGCGCCACGTAGCATTCTAATTGTGCCACATGTGTACACCCCAAGTTCTCTCAATGTTTCTGTCAGGGTAACCGAGTTGTAGTAATTATCCATGTACAAATGGTAACCCTGGTTCACTAAAGGCTGCATCAACCCCGTTACTGTATCCACTATCGTCTTACCAATACCTGAGTATACGTCAAAGTCATATATGTACCCAGAGACAGATTCAGCAAGCATATAAAGTTTCACACCATACTTGTCTGGTTTGTTTGGATTGTACACTTTGAAGGATAGTCGGCCTCGCCATGCCATTGTACCCTCATCCAAACACAACTCTTTCTTGGGGATGTAAACTTGAGCAAACCTCTCTTTCAAGTAATCCATCACTGGTCTCACTTTTATCAACTTATCACGATTGTTCACGGGCACTGCATTGGTATTGAATGTGTGGAAAAACTGGTTTATATGCTGGAATCGTCTGGACGGCATGAACAAGCTGAAGAAACGAGCATGCCATGGCTTTGCTGTTTGCCAATACATCCTCATAGTTGGGAGCCTAATTATGCCCATCAATATGAACAGTCCTAGGAATCGCGACATTTCACTCACCTTCACTGGGGTCCAAATATCTGATACATTTTCATTGGCCATCCGGAATAACTGCGAGGCGTACAAATTTGTTTCAACGGTAAAGAACTCAAGGAGGGCACGCGTGATGAACAATTGAATATAAGCCAGTGCACTAGTAGGCTTGGGAATTTTCAGTCCAGGATTTCCAGTAAAATCATCAACAACTGGAGAAGTATTGCTACGACTCCAGCCCTCACCAGCCCAGCCTGCCGAGTACGTACTGTACGTGTACGCCTTTCAGCAGGCTCGAATGAACCCTCATCACTTTCCTCATCACTTATACTTTCAGAATCACTTGGCGCAATTTGTCGTGTGTTCCTACGACGAGTAACATGTCTGGTAGTTACTTTTCTAGGTAGCCTAGATGCACCACGTGTGCGCCGAGATGGAGGAGGAGGAGGGGGTCGTGGTGCCTCCTCTTCCTCGGTGAGGGTCTCAGTCTCCTCATCACTCGTTGCCATATCATTCCCTCTAGCTCTAGGTACACTATAATCGTTGTGGGTTCCAAAATCTTCCTCCAATACCTCTACATCACCTTCAGCTTCTGATAAATCCTCCACAAGGCCTGGAATTTTCGTTGGTGTGAGCTTCACTCCGCTCCACTTCTTAAAAATTTGGGTTATTTTGTCCACTCTCGATGACCTGGAGGCTTCCTTGGGCGTAGAAGTGCTTGGGCCTTGACCTTGATCCATTTTTGATGAAGTAATTGGGTATAATCCACACGGAAACGGGTAAAAATGCTCGAGTTTGGCGCGCGAGGGGAGCGTGATCGACTCACGACACGTGACACGAAAACAATGGGCCCGTCACGTGACCGGGTAGGCCGACGCGCCAGGCGGCCTAGTGGTGAGAAAGAGAACTTCATGGCGCGTCGTTTGAAACAAACCCCAATGAAATCGGATTAAAATTGAATTTTATACAAATATTTTAAAAGAAGACATAACTTTATGTCCACTATGCGTTTACGTTAGACGAAACCGGACGCGCCGGCGCGTCCAGATAGCGCGAAAGTGTAATTTGCAAAACATATTTTAAAGGAGAATATTGTCATTGTCATTTGAATTTCCATGACTGAGAATATTTACAGTTCAAATAAATAAACCAAACTGTGTTCCAACCTGATATCAAGCCTTTAGGTAGCTCCAAAGTTGTTAACTGAAGAGAGCCCTTAGTATTGGATACTTCTCGTGTCAATTCATATATCTGAAAAGAGATTGAAAAGACAATCATCAACAACTTCATCATTATTATTACCAATCATCAATAATCCATGTGCTACTGTATCACAAAGTAAAAGGCATCCACCTATAGAATAAAAAAAAAAAAAACTGAGTGTAATGAAACGCCACTTTCTGGGTTGAGCCCCGAAAACTCCCTGAAGTTAACGGACTGATATCCACCATATTAGTCTAGAGCATCAGTTACTGGAGTCCTTATGCCTACCGGGAACTACGAGCCAGAACCTGGTTTATTCAGAGAGGGGAAAGGGGCAGTGGCTTATGAACACTGCACTGTTTGAGAGTACTATAATCGTGTCTGCTATCGACTGGAGGCATCACCCAGAAAGGTAGACAAACCATTACAAATTCCAACTGGTAAAACATTGCAACCCAAGACTGAACAGAGGCTAAGAACCCCCCCCCCCCCCCCAAGAGAAAACAACAAACATGCAAAGGTCCACTCAATCAGCACGCCCGCTTGTTAGCGACCCCCCTTCCCCTTTCCCTGGGAGGTGGAAGGGGGGCCCCGTCCAGGTAGCCCCAAGCGCTGATGCTGGCAGTTTGTAGACTGATAACAAAAGGATGTCATGGAAGCCTCCGGGGCTCAACCTAGAAAATGGAGTTTCATTACATTCAATGTTGGTCTTCTGGGGGTAGCCCCATCAGCTTCTTGAAGCTATATACCCACAGATAAGTTAATAAGGGATATACCCAGGAGGCAGCAGCACCGTGTGCCTCATGACAAAGACGGGACAGCTGACCGCAGCAGAGGCCCCAAAGCCACACAAGGCCGCTGAGGGCCTGGAACATTAACAAGATAACAGGCGGCCAGGACCCTGTTCGACCACCAAAACCCCTATGCCTGAATGTCAACCCAAGACATGTTACCAAAGACAACAGCAAAAGCTGCAAACTTCCGAACATCATGGGCATGAGGGTAGACTGCAGGCTGGCTAGCCTTGATAACCCTGTGGACGACCCGAGAGACCTGAACCCTGAAACAAGGAATGAGGGAAATTGGAACAACCCAAAGTACATCCCCAGACACAGAACCCGATGCGCACAGGTAACATAGGAGAGCCACAACCAGACACAAAACATGATGCACCCCCGGCCTGACCAACCAAGCATCAAGAATCCCACAGACCTCTTCGGAAGCCCGCGGTCTCTTTCTTCGCCAGAAAAGAAGGAGACGGCTGCAAACAAACAAAACGCCTTCCAGGGCCAAAGGAGCAGAAACCTCTGTGCCGGAGCATAGCATGAAACTCCCCAACCTGACCCCCCCCAGAGGCCAAAGCAAACAAAAACAATTCCTTTTTGAAGCAAACCTGAACCGAAGGGGCCACAACAAACTGAGGAGAAGAGAGAAAAAGAGAGCACCCAGTCCAAAGACCAGGACGGCTCAGGTGGCACATGAGCAGGCCAGAGGTGAAAAAATGGACAAGAGTTTGTGGAATGGAGCAGAAGTGACATCCACACCGAATGCAAGCTGGAGCGGCTCCACACGCGCCACACGATAAGAAACGACAGTACAGTATTCAGCAGAAGATGCGGGTCTTGAAAAAGCCAAGAGAGAAAGGACAAAACAATATGATCAGAATAGTTGAACCACCTATCCCTGCTGTGGTTTTGAGGTTTCTCTTCATCCAGTTGATTCCTTCCTCTGAAGCCTCTCCTTTGGACTTTGCTTTCCTATCCTGGTGAGCACGGACTCCGGCTCTGCCCAAGAGCTTTCGTGTTTTGTTTGAGCTTTAGAGAGATGGATAGGGGGACCTTTGGTTTCCTTGGACCTCATCTGCTCCTTCATCCCATCCAATGAGACACTCTTGCTGCAGGGGAAAGGGTTTTCTTACCTGCTCTTTACATGATTTTGAGCTTAATGTTTTCCCCCATGGGTTCATTTCAAAGTATCAAAAAAGGCACCCAGAAACTTGTATGATGAGCCTTGCCTCTTTCAAGTTTGGGTCTTCCTCACTGTACAAACTGCACTATGAGGTCCTGGAGTCTACCTGGCTAGCAGGCCTTCCTCTTTCCTGGTGGGATGGGGGGGAGGGAGAAAAGCCCCTTTGTGGCTCCCTGAATATCCTGATACGGTACCATCTAGGTTACATCAGGCGTGGAGTTCAATAGGCCTACCAGGGACCAGCTCCATCACAGAGGCCCAAGTGACATTTCATTTTTTTTTGCTGCCTCTGGGGAAGGCAACCAGAAAGTCAAGGAGTTGAAAGAAACCACTGCTGGCTTTGATAGAGACCATTGCCTCAAAACTTCCCATAAGAACTCCCTGAACTATGTAAACAAATTATCAAATTCTCTCGGAACTCGTGCGAACTTTGCCCCACCTTCTCCACTTGTTTGGGAGGCGTTCATGCATCACCATTCATACGGAGAGCCATTTTGGCATGATGGCTTCAGGGAATCGCACAGGGATCCCCCCAGAAAACAACTGTACAGTATAATGAATATGAAAAAAAAGGAAATTACATCAATATATAAACTATGAAAATAATGATGCCCATCTTGGTCTTTGGGCCAAGGGTCAGAGACACTTCAAGATGTTACACGACCAAAGTCCATATTCACTCCAAACATTGACCACCTACGGGCTACTCATGCCTATGTCACCTCTTGAGGCGGCTTAATCTTCATCAATCAATCAATCAATGCACATCTAGGCCTTATTAATGCAAGGATATACTGTACAGCCAAACACAAGATATTCTTTCTACTCTCGAATAAAAGGCTCAGCATGGAAACTGAAAAGTTATAGCTGTGTGTTTCTTGTTTTTGTGTTTGAAAATAAATGTATCGATGATAGCTTCAACATTCAGACTCCTGACTCTTTTCAAAGTTATAGATATTACTGTAATATCCTTTGTTCTGCCACCACTGCCTATCAGGGACCAGCTCCTAATGCCAAAAGGCCTCTTGGCCTATTGGCCTTTTAATGCCAAAAGGCCAATAGGCCGAACGCCCCTAACGTAAGTTCTTGTCAGTCATAGAAAGGATAAACATTCACATGCTGTAGAATTAACTGGGAATGTCACAATGATTCATACCAAATCACACAAAGCTACAAAATCATCACAGTATGAGCACAGCAGCATATTGTAGTGGAGAAGGTGGAAGTATGCTAATACTTCCACCTTCCAATAAAAAATCTAATTTTGCTTCTCTCAAGATGACATTATGCTATGACTATCAACGCTGCCTAATACATGAATGATGTGATCAGCTCACCGAGACTAATTATCAGAACTTGAAGCAAATAATGTTATTAATAAAAATATATACTAAATGGGATACTGTACTTTATTATGTTCTATGGAAGTGGAACTGTGGATTTAATTTTCCATTAACAAATGGCCAGTTACATTATTCCAAACAAGAGATTAGAGCATTTATCTTGACTGGGGCTTCATCGCCAACATTCACTATACTATACCTGCTACAATGTCACCACTGCTTATTTATAACACACACACACTCTCCAGAAAAAGCAGAAAAATTATTAAGTTTGAACCTTTGTGCGAAGCATGACTTTCTCGTCCTGTAACTTGTTGACCTGATTGGTCAGACGTTCTATGATTTGTTTACTGTTCTGCCAGTTTGTTTTGTTCACACCAGGCAGGTCAATATCTTCACGAGGCTCGAGCTTCAGCTGTTCTCTGAAATTAGAAAATAATTCTAATCAAAATCAACATAGCAAGTGAAATATGAGTTATCGATATATGATGCATGCAGCATCTGTGAATAATGTCAATTATAAATACAGCTCTTCAATGCCGTTGTTTTGAACTGTACTCTATAGTGTGTATACAGTGCAGTGTGTATACCTGAGCAATAAGGCAGTAGCTGCAGCCAAAACACCAGAGAGAGAGCCTCTAGAGTAAAAAGAGGAAAGGGGGGGGGGAAGGAACAAAATGGAAGAGGTAGATACGGGGCAATGACCTTACCTTACCTTGTGGTACTTTCAAGGATCAACTTCCCCACAGCCCTGTCTCTGACCAGTCCTCATGGTTGGTCGTCTTGTCGACCAGGCCTCATGGTTGGTCGTCTTGTCGACCAGGCCTCATGGTTGGTCGTCTTGTCAACCAGGCTGTTGGACACGGCTGCATGCAGCCTGACATGAATCACAGCCTGGTTGATCAGATATCCTTTGGAAGTGTTCATAGAGTTCTCTCTTGAACACCATGAGAGGACGGCCAGGTATGCCCCTTATGTGTAGAGGGAGTGTGTTGAAGAATCTTGACCTTTGATGTTGATGGAGTTCAACACCCTCCCTCCCTCACCATACCTATTCCATTTCTGCATTTCACTAGGGCTATTTTGCATGTTCTGCCATGCTTTTTGGTTTCACGTGATGTTATTTCCATGTGCAGATTTGGAACCAGTCCCTCTAATATTTTCCATGTGTAACTTACTATGTACCTCTCTCACTTGCGCTCTAGAAAATACAGATGTAGAGCTTTTAATCGATCTCAATAATTTAGATGTTTTATAGAGAGAATTCTTGCAGTAAGGAATCTCTGTATGGACTGCAATTTCTCTGACTCTGAAATGGGGCTGTTAATGTGCAACAATATTCCACCCTAGAGAGCATTGATGGCTTTTAAAGTATCATCATTGGTATGGCATCTTTTGTTTGAGAGGTTCTTGTTATCCAACCTTTCATTTCCCTTGCAGTTGTGACAGCTACTGTACTTTTATTGTGTTCTGTACAGGTAAGTTCTTCCGACATGATTACTCCTATACCCTTTACTTTGCTTTTTCATTCTATAGTGTAATTTGACTACATTTTTTTATGTGGTTTCCATTTTTATATTTGTGTTTTTTTTTCTATCCAGGTTAATTTTTAGGATCCAGGTTAAATCCTGGGTTATAACAGGTTCAATGTTGGTATCACATTCATAAAAATTAGTTTAGATCATTAATCTTAGGGTGTTCAGGGATTCACTGAAAACAGAATTGTACTGAAGCTTCAATAGTTCACTAATTTCTTTGTTGTTATCTGTGAAAGTTCTATCACCCTTGTGCAAGAGCTCAATGCTGGATGTAGTTTTTGTTCTAGTTTTTACATATGAGAAAATGTATTTCAGATTCTTCTCTATTTCACTTACGGCCTTTTGCTCTCTTTGCTTCTCTTGGATTGTATATGATTCTTACAGATTAAGTTCAATCATTTCTATGTCTCTACACTGCCTGCCTTCCTTATCACTGTTGGGATGAAGTGGAGCATTTGAGATGTTCTACAATTGTTTCCTTCACCTATAAAGGAAATGCTGTTCTCATTCCAGTTTGCAATTTTGTTCTTTTCTGTGGGGAGCCCCTACAGCTCCCGCAGCCCAGAGCTTACCAGGCTGATATGTATGTATTAGACCGTGGCATCAGTCAATTGGAATTCTTTGCCTCCTGGGGACCACGAGCCAGAACCTGGCCCCCTAAGAGAGGCTAGGGGAGCAATGGCCTATAGAAACCCCTGTGTGTTTTGAAGCATTCCGTGTCTGCCATTGACTGGGGTTGGCACCCAGAGAGGTAGGCGTAACAAAACAAACCCTACATGGGAAAAATTGCTACCTAAAAGCCAAACAAGGAGGCAGAACTCCCAAATTAAAACAAGCAAACATCACTACTGCTGCCACTAGTCCGTGCAAACCACCCCCCCCTCCCCCCCAGAGGAGGAGGGGAAAGCCCCAGACCCCCACGCCGGCTGCTCCAGCATTCAGTTCTCGGCTGATGTCTGACTGTGGCAGTCATTGATTCTGGCCTCTCATTCTGTGCCGTGTTGTTCCTTGTGTTTTTCTGTGGTACGATGTGCAGGCCAGCAGTAATTCATCAGTACTTTAGATGCATGCACTTAGGGGTCACCTTCCCTAAGCGTCCTGTAAGTACTGCTCTTGCATTCTGGTGTTCCCTTCCACAGGGCATTCGGGAACCGCTTCTGTAGGGATCTTTTGCTGCTCGACATTTGCCCACCCTTGAGGTCAGTTGGGGATTTCATTCTTTTCGTTTGGCCTTGGGTAGGAAGTGGTATCGTTGCTGGTGCCTGTGCAGCTTATCTCCCCTTATATACAGCACCCGGTTTTGTTCCTCCTGGAGACAGTGCGCTTTTGCAAGGCTTTTTCTTTTTTATTTTGCCTGGTGGGGGTCTGCCTCCTTGGTTCTGTTCCACCTTCTGGTATTGTATATTGGTGGTCCTCTGCTAGGTCCCCTTGCTTATACACATCATAGGAGTTCAGTTTTAGCAGTTTCTCCTGGTAGTTTGGGCACAACTTGTTGGCAGTACCTTGCCTGGGCTTCCCTTAGCAGTCAGCCTAAGGGCCCTGGAAAACTCCATTGGGGCTCATTGGACCTATGGACACATCCTCTGGGTTCCAACCCACCGAGTGCAGGGTTGATGGTCCCCTCTGTTCCCTTGTCTCAGGGTGATACCTGTTTTGCCTCCATCATACCACCTGCTGGGTCGATGACTTCTTTGACCGGGAGTCTTGTTCCTTGCTTGTGCCCCAGTTTACGTATTCTACTGAGATTGCTGTTCGGGTACAGGGAGCTTCAGTGTTGCATGCACGGTACTGGTTGCTGCAGCGTGCAAGGTTGATTGGTCACTCGGATGCCATGAGACTGCCCCATTTGGGTTATAGGGACCTGGACTTAGGGGCATTAGTCGCTTCCACTTTGGTTACGTCCGCGCTCCCGAATCCTTCCCAGGTTGGTGTTGATCGTCCTTCCCCCCCCCCCCCTGCTCCTGGTTCCCAAACGTCTGAGGGTTTCGGAGTCAGGGCAGGTTTAGATGGATGCGAGACTCGGATGACTTCGGGGGCCGCCCCATCCGGGTTGGCGACCGAGGCATTTGAGCCGGTTCCTCCTGCTGAAGCTTCTGGGCCTTACCAGCAGGCCCCCACTCCTTTTCTGCTTTTCCCCCGGACTCGGCCTTTTCTATGGGGGCTGAGGATGTGGAGGTTAGGTTTGTGGACTGGTTAGGTTTTGTGGGGGGCATCAGGCTTTCAGCTTTCGTTGCCTTCCATTTGGCCTCAATCTAGCATCTCGCATATTCACATGTTTTACCTTGGTCGTGGTGACCCATCTGCATCAGTTAGGGATTCGGGTTCTGGCCTACCTTGACGACTGGCTGGTGTGGGCTCCCAGTCGGTCTGTTCGCCAGGGAAGTGGTTCCTTCCCAGTTCACCGGGTTCAGGTTCCTGGTGACTTTGAGGAAGTCTCATCTGGTCCCGTCTCAGGTTCGGACTTGTCTCGGTCTTGTACGAAACTCTCGAACCACTTCCTTGTCTCTCCCTCCGGGGGCATTGTTGCGGCTGCAGTCCCACCTTCAACTGTTTTTGAGGGGGCTCCAGGGTCACTCGGCAGTTGCTCGAGCAGTGGTGCAGGAGTCTGAACTTCGTCGTGCTAGTTTGCTCGCTGGTCGGGTGTGGCTTTGGCCTCCAGGGGCCATGCGTCGGTTGCTGCGTCACCGGCTTCCTTTTCGGATTTTCCAGGGTTCAGTGCCCCGGAAAAGTTCAGGCGCCTACTCGAGTCCTCGCTCGATGTGTTCATAGACACTTCGTCTCTCGGCTGGGATCTTGTGACCAGTGCTCACCAGGCCAGCCAGAGTCGATGGGTGCTGTCCTTCCATCAGACTCACAGCACGTTGCAGGAGTTTGCGGCTGTTTGGCTGTCACTTCAGAGGGTTCGAATCGCACAGAGTTCGACCATCCGGCTCCATTCGGACTGTACTCCAGTGGTTCATTGCCTGAACCGCAGGGGTTCTCTTCGGTCCTTGGCCCTTTGGGGCTGGTCACTTCGAGTGATTCGTCTGCTGGATTCTCGGGGTTTGGCTCTCCGTGCGGTTCATGTTCAAGGGGTGTCCACGTTCTTGCAGAAGGCCTGTCTCAGTTCATTCCTCATTCCCTGAAAACTGCTAAACACTTCCTAAGGATACCTGATTGACAAGGCTGTGATTCATACATCAGGCTCTAAACAGCTGTATCTAACTGCCTTGTTGACCAGACCCCCAACCAGGAGGCCAGGTCAGTGACCGGGCCACAGGAATATTAATCCTCAGAACCGACACCAGGTAAACACAAAGTAAACCTGCTTATTCTCCTGACTGAGAATGACCAGGCTGGAGCATGTGTAATGGTCATTCTTCTGACCATTAAACATGCTTTCTGAATCTTGTTTTGTTTCTTCCTCAGTTCTCTATCACCCTTTCAGTTCAAGATTGTTTTTATATATTTATTTGTGTTGGTTTTCACTTTTGCGAGTAGAATTGGGGAGCTTCAAGCTTTCCTCCAGAAGCAAGAGTTCTGTTTCTTTGGCCCTGGTGGGTAGTTTCTTCACTTGCAGCAGTCTTCTTTTCTGGCTAAGAATCAGATGGATGGCTTTGGGATTAGATCTTTGGTTATCTCTTGGTTTGCTCAGATGTGGAGGCATTGCTTACTGTGTCCAGTGACACCTCTATGTCATTACATGCATTTCACTTACGATGCTTCAGATGTCATATTGTTTCTTGACTCATTTGTCTTAAGTTGTTCACAGTATCAAGTTTAACTGGCTTGCGGTCTACCCTGGGACACAAGATAAGGAAATTTGTGGCTTTCTCTGCTGCGTTTGCAATTGTCTTGGGCGGCTATTTAAATTCGGGCGTTCTTGCATTCTAATAGTATTTTGGTTGCTCGATACCTTGCTAATGTGCTCAAGCTGCAGCAGACTTGTGTAAGACAGGAAAGGGTTTTCCCCATTGCTCATTCCTTGCTTTTGAGGTTATTGGCTTCAGCTCTTTTCTACCCCTGGTGAGTTCCAATTTTGTTTATGTCTGTGGTAAAATAGTAACAGGGAGCCATTGAAGGAACCTTCCCAGAAAACCAGCATTGAATGTGATGAAATGCCTCTTTCTGGCAAGTCCTCAGTGACTACCTGAATCATCACCTCTTCCTTCAGATGCACCAGTCTATTGTCTTGATGGATTAGGCTGCTTCAACTGAGCTGATTACTGCCACCACCTCTAGTAGCTGCTACTAGAGGGGGACTTACCTTGTTGCTGTCTGTTTTGTTTTCTTTGCCTTTTTTATGGATGTAGTGTGATTCAGAATCCTCTGCTCTCAGCTCCTCTATAAAGGGGACCATGTTTTGGCCTCTGGTTCTTGATACCTGTAGGCTTTTATTGACTCAGAAAAGCCTGGTGTGACTAGACTTGGGTGGACCTATCCAATTGGTAACAAGTGGGAGCCACCATACCTACCAGAAAAAGGAGTTTCCTTACACTAAATGCCATTCTTTTCCCCTAGTTACACTAGTGCATAAAACTCAAAACTTTTTCACCTCAAATCCTTGTGGCTAAAGTTCCCTTCTCAAGTTGATGCTGGCTTTGCCCCTACCTTCAGTCGGGGTTCTTTTCCTCAACCAGGCTCTTTCGAAAAGAGTATACACCACCTGCAGGTCTATGAAAAATAGCCTTAGCCAGCTTATTAGCAGTAGAAGAAAGACCTAAAGCAACTGCCAGGAAGAAAGACCCTCAACACTTTATGGATATTTGACACCAGATAGAGGTAGGATGGGAGGGACATAGGATACCTGTATCCTATCTATTATGCAAGTAGTGATGGTTATCTTGAGGTTATCTCGAGATGATTTTGGGGCTTAGCGTTCCCGCAGCCCGGTCCTCGACCAGGCCTCCTTTTTGTTACACACCCCCAAGGAAGCAGACCGTAGCAGCTATTTAACTCCCAAGTACCTATTTACTGCTAGGTGAACAGATGCATCAGGGTGAAAGAAACTCTGCCCATTTGTTTCCGGCTCCGCCGGGAATCGAACCCGGAACCTCAGGACTACAAATCCGAAGCGCTGTCCACTCAGCTGTGATACAGCAAGGGTTGACATTAACTGCAGTTGAACAAATCTATGTGGCAAAGACAAGTAGATACGTTGTATGTGAATAAAAATACCAACGAATAAAAAGGCTCTTACCTGAGTACACCATTTTCTTCAATGAGGTCATTAATATTAATCTGCAGACTATTGACAAGCGATGTCAACTGTGTGATCTGGGAGTCTCTGATCCGAACCTGGCTCCGTACTTCTTTCAGTTCTCTTACAGCATCGGCTAAAGAAAATTCTCCTGCCATATATGACTGCAATTCTCCAATTACTGTTGAAAGCTGAAACCAAAGAAAAACTTCTGACAAACAATACATACTGTAATATAAGAAATATTATTACCTGGCATGTTTGCAGCTTAGACCATGAATGATAAAGGAATATGCCAGTTAATCAAGTTCAGCATTCAGTATATATCATGAAACTTTAATCTTTATAATCTGAGTAAGTGTTATAAAACTTTCCAAGCAAAAATATTAATTAATTACATGGTGTCATCATAAAATCACTAATAAACCCACAAGCAATCATTGATCTGTACAGTGATTACATTCTTGAAAACAGCAAATAGAAAAAAATTGCACAAATGAAACTTAAAAGGTGTATGGGAAAAGCAGGGTTAGTATCCAGAGATTTAAGAAAATCTACTGTTTTCCCACTTTATTCAATGCCTATAGCATTAATATGTACTGAAGCACAGAATACATGGGGAAATACAATACAATATTTACTGAAACACACAGCATACAATGAAGCACAGAATGCTTGAGGAAGTGCAATGATCTTACTGCTAAGAATGAAGTAGACCCAAGGATTGGCATAGATTATCCACATTAAGCCCATCTCAACCTAAATAAAACACTGTACCTTCAAAATACTCTGTACACTTCAAAACTAGCTATAAATCTACTAACAGACTTTACTACAAATCTGTGTAGTCCAATACCTCACATGTTGTGAGCCATCTGTATAGGGTGAGCTTATGCAGAAAAACACAAAATTAAGTACAGTACTTTATCAGATCTCTTATCATATTCATCTTACAGTAAAAGGAATAATTGAGATAGGCTGCCCGACCAAATTAATTTTATTACTTTGAGCCCACAAGAAAAGTCCAGCATTAAATATAATGAAATGCCACCTCCTGGTAGAACCCCCCTGTAGCTTCCTGAAGCTCTCTTGGTGAAAAGACTCCTGACTACTGAATCACATCAATTGCAGGAGACCTTTTGGTCTACTCAAGACCAGAGCCAGAACCTTGCTCCCTCACAGCAGTGCAGAGCTGGGTACCATTATCCTCACCCCACCAGGAAAGAATCCAGTAAGTCTGTGAAGCTTTACAGACAAGTGCAAGGTTTATGGGGAACAAAACATTGAAATGGCCAAACAATTTGCCAACTATGCAAGCAATAACAAATGAATCATTGAAAATAAGTTCCAATAGCCACCACCAGGAGTGCAATGTGGAACAATGGGAATTGCCAAAAAGAAAACGACTCTGAAGTGCCAAAAGGCACATGAATCCAATCACTGCCAGGGAAATGGGGATAGCACTGAGGTCAACCAGTACATGCAACAAAGGGGGAAGGAAATATCTCCTCCTCCCAAATGAGCAAAAAACTAGCATTGAATGTAACAAAACACCAATTTCTGGGTGAGCCCCGGTGGCTCCCTGAAGCTATAATGCTGATTTAGTGTCAAACTATTAGGTGCCATCAGTCATGGAATTGTTTTAGGCCTACCTGGGACCACAAACTAGAACCTGGGCCCCCCCTCTAATGAAGCACAGAGAGCATTGGCACTATGACAAAATTGTCAGCGATTTTTATTCATATTCTCCAACACCGGTGAAGCACCTACAAAGTCAGCCAAACAAGAGAGACAACTGCTAGTTTTAAAAAATATTAAGACCTCAAAATTGCAAAAGAACTCCCAAAAATATAAACAAACGATAAAAAATTATTGAAGTTAGCACTAGATCGTTCGCCCCACCTTTCCTCCCCCCCCCCTCGTTTGGGGAACAGGAGGGAGGCACACCATGTGAGGCTGCTGCTCCACCCTCAGTTTTGTGATAATAGAAAAAGCCACCCCAATTAGGGAAAAGGTGTCATTTCCCTAGGAAATGGAGGGTGTTGGAGAGCCAACAGAGCTCACCCAGAAATCAGCATTTCATTACATTCAATGATAGTTTTCTGGGAAAGAGATCCTTCTGGGTCCCTGAAGGACCTACCCGTGGAGAAATAATATAATGGAACCTACCAGGGGGGAGGAGGAAGCACTGCAGGTACTACAACAAAGACGAAATCATGGGCCACAACACACAACCCAAGGCCGACGAGGAGAAGGAACATTGACAAGACACCTGGTTGCCAGGTGTCTTGGCAACTGTTTGACTGGGAAAACCGTTTGACTGCCAAAACCCCAGCGCCTGAACATTGGCCCCAAGACATATTGGCAAACACAGCCGAGAGAATGGCAAATATCCAAACAACATAGGCAGGAGGGTAGACTGCAGGCTGGCTACACTTAACACAATGGACAACCTCATAAATATGAGCCCTGGAACAGGGTACCAGGGAACCGGATCAAATCAACCCATTAGGAGTCCAACGAACCAGACCCACGAGACTTTCAACATGATGCCAATGAACACCAGGCTCAGCTACTTGGCCAGAAGGCACTGTACCGCATGAAGCACATGTATGTCCCAGATCCCAAAGAACCCCACGAAGCAGTAAACACAACCAGTGACTATGAGATCCACGAACCACCACAGAGAACCCGAAGAATCACTCTCCAACAAAAAGTTATCACACACATCCATGATCAGGCCTTCCAAAGACTTCAAATACTAAGTGATCTCCCAAACAACCCAGATGAGTAGACCATCCTGGACCCAATTTACACTCAATAAAAAAAAAACTTTTTTGTGCTACCAGAAGAGTAACCACCCTGATGTTGCTCAGATTAATCTCCTGCAGCCAACTCCAACGACTCTGGTTTCCAGATACTGTACTAGCTAGGACACAAACACTAGCCACCCAGCCAATGTACTGACAACCCAACATACCACACACCCAAACAAATGACACACACATACGCCAACCCATGGTGGACAGGCCACCGAACTTTCAAACCACCTCTCTCTCTCTCTCTCTCTCTCCCTATACCCACATCCTCTTCCAGAATTTCACTTCCCCATCCCTCTACCTCCCCTATCTTTTCCAAACCCTTCGGACATCAAAGTTAAGTCCAACGAAGCAGAAGCAGTGGCACAAAGGGAGCAGTGCAGAGCCACTACCAAGTATAGGAAATATTTGCAGAGGGTGGAAATATTTCTTGCAGTGTGTGCAAGTGGTGCACCCTCCGAGAAAAGGAGCAGAGAAGAGACAGAAGGAGGGGTGCAAGGGCCCAAGCTGAACCCAAAAAAAGACCAAGCAAAGCAAGCCAACACGTGAGCTATTCAGAATAGAATGTGGTCACCATATCTTGTAGAAAGAGCCAACAGCTTCACGAGACCCGCTGACTATGCCACGGCCTTGGACCAAAACCTGCTCAAGAGGACTACTACTGAGCACACCCATGGACCCAGGAGCCAAACAAAACACAGCGCAAGGGGACCCAGAAATGCATGGTACAGTCCAAGTGCTAAATGTCACAGAGTCTTGACACCGACAGCAAGAAACATGCGCAGGAAGCTGAATCACTCCAACAGGCTGGGAAAGAGTGGAGCAAATGGACAGGATGAAGGAGGCCCAAAAAGTGAGGCCCCCAAAACACCAGAAACACGTCCACAACCTTGCATCACTCAAGCGAGCAGGACTGGCAAAACAGTGCTGGGCAACAGAAGAAAGTAATCTCCACTAGCCAGGAAGACACCAAAACCTCGTAACATACCCAAAAGAGAAAGAGGACCCGAACACAAAGGAAGCCGGATCCAACTGCAAAGAGCCAAGGTCGAGGGGACAAACTTCCCAAAACCATGACCCAAAAAACTGCTCCCGGGCTTTCAAACGGGCACACAACCTAGACTGCTCATAGAAAGCCTAAAACAAAGTGGATGCTGCCTGAAAAGCCCAAGCATCTAAAGGAGTGCTAGAAAGGAGAGTAACATGACGGGAGCACACCCCCAAATGACTCGGAGTCGAAGGTGTTACGATCTCAACAGGCAGCACGGCGGAGGCAGGTAGAATGAAGACAGCCCTGCAGCAATGACGACAAACAAACTTCATCTCGCAAGAAGCAAGGGCAGGGTCGGGCACAGCCCTCAAAAGGCCCTCGAACCCGTGAGGAATTAACCGGACATGAAGGGTACAATCAGAGCAGGTACAATCAGAGCAGAACAGTCGGCACTGGGATGCACCACTGGTACTCTCAAAATGTTTCTATGTAAATTATCCCAAACCGGCTAAGACAGCTGGGAAAAAACCAGCGTTGAATGTAATGAAACGCCATTTTCTGGGCGAGTCCCGGAGGCTCCCCGGAGCTATCACAGGCTGATATGCTAATGTCAGACTTTGGCATCAGTCATGTGTATGGAGTTCTTAGGCCTACCGGGGACCACGGCCAGAACCGGGCCCCCTCAGAGAGGCAAGGGGAGCAATGGCCTATAGAAGCCCCCGTGTAGTTGGAAGCATTCTATGTCTGCCATCGACCGGAACAGGCACCCAGAAAGGTAAGCGCCCCAAAACAAACCCCTATTCTGGTTAAAATTGCTACCAAAAACCGAACTAGTGGATAGAACTCCCCAACCGAAAACAAGCAAACTAGTGTGACGTCACACACTGCCGCGCCGCTGTCTGCGCAGCTCCCCCCTCCCCGGGAGGGGGAAGGGGGAGCCCCAGACCCCCCGCGCCGGCTACCCACACCTCAGTTCTTGAGGCTGGATGTCAAAAACGCGAAAAACCGCCGACCGGAGGGAGGGAGGGATGCCGGGGAGCCTCCGGGACTCACCCAGAAAATGGCGTTTCATTACATTCAACGCTGGTTTTCTGGGGGGAGCCCCGTCGGCTCCCCGGAGCTAACTACCCACAGACAGAAAAAGAGGGACTTACCCGGGAGGCGGTCGTCGCTCACCCCTCAACTCGAAGCCGAGACAACTGGCTGCAACCGCCGACCCAAAGCAACACAGGCCCGACGAGGCCCAGGGACATTCACAAGGTAACGAGCAGCCAGGACCCTGTTCGACCGCCAAAATCCCCGCGCCCGAATATCAGACCAAGACATATTCCCAAAGACGGCAGCAAGAGCCGCGAACTTACGAACGTCATGGGCACGGGGATAGACCGCAGGCTGGCTGGACCTAATAACCCTGCGGACGACCTGAGAGACCCGAACCCGCGAACAGGGAAGAAGGGAAACCGGATCAACCCACAGCGCGTCCCCGGACACAGAAGCTGTGGCGCGCAAATAACGGCGAAGCGCCGCAACCGGACACAAAACATGATGCACCCCCAGCCTGACCAACCAAGCATCAACCACCCATGGACCCCTCCGGAACGCAGCAGTCTCATTCTTCGCCAGAAAAGAAGGAGACGGCTGCAAACGAACAAAACTATCACCACGACCAAAAGAGCAGAAACCCCTTTGCCGGAGGAGAGCATGAAGCTCCCCTACCCGACCCCCAGAGGCCAAAGCCAACAAGAAAAGTGCCTTGGAAAAACAATCCTGGACCGAAGGGGCCACAACGAAACGAGGAGACGAAAGGAAAGCGAGCACTCTGTTCAAAGACCAGGACGGCTCAGGCGACGCATGAGCAGGCCGGAGGTGAAACAATGCACGAGACAGCTTGCGAAACGGCGCAGACGTAACATCGATACCGAAAGCAAGCTGAAGCGGCTCCGCCAGCGCCGTACGATACGAAGCGACAGTGTTAGGCATAAGATGACGGTCCTGAAACAACCACGAGAGGAAGGACAAGACCACCCGAACAAACAAGGAGCTAACACGACGAAGACGCAAAAAGAAACGGAAGGACCGCCAGGAAACTTCATACTGCCGCCGAGAAGAAGCCCTCAGGTGGGACACCAACAAGGAGGCCACCTGATCACCATAGAGATGATGATAGACTCGAGTCAAAAAAACCATACGCGAAGACTCGAGGAGAAGATCGAACCAGCTACGTGACGTACCGGCCCGATCTGCTGAAAGAGGCGGAGCCGCGGGAAAACCCTCGGGTTCGGACACCGAGCAACCAGCGCCTGAAACCAAGGCTGGGCCGGCCACCAAGGGGCCAGAAGGACAACTCTCCCCCGGTAAGTCTCTAAGCGAGTCAGGACCTGGAGCAACAGCCGAACCGGGGGAAAGAGGTACAGGAACCCCCACCTCGACCAGTCTAGCCGAAAGGCATCAGCCTCAAGAACTGAGGTGTGGGTAGCCGGCGCGGGGTGTCTGGGGCTCCCCCTTCCCCCTCTTGGGGAGGGGGGAGCTGCGCAGACAGCGGCGCGGCAGTGTGTGACGTCACACTAGTTTGCTTGTTTTCGGTTGGGGAGTTCTATCCACTAGTTCGGCTTTTGGTAGCAGTTTTAACCAGAATAGGGGTTTGTTTTGGGGCGCTTACCTTTCTGGGTGCCTGTTCCGGTCGATGGCAGACATAGAATGCTTCCAACTACACGGGGGCTTCTATAGGCCATTGCTCCCCTTGCCTCTCTGAGGGGGCCCGGTTCTGGCCGTGGTCCCCGGTAGGCCTAAGAACTCCATACACATGACTGATGCCAAAGTCTGACATTAGCATATCAGCCTGGGATAGCTCCGGGGCCGAGCCCCCCCAGACGGGTCATTAACCCTCTCCCCATCCACATTCCATCTTTTCCTGCTCCCCCTTGGTAATTATTACATAGCAAAAAACTTACATCCTGTGCATGAAGCTGTGCATCTTCCTCTGCTGCTAAAAGCTGGGTCCGCATCCGTTGCATGTGCTGCCGAGCCTCGTGAAGCTCTCCACGCAGCTGATTCACAACACCAGTTTCTCCCTCCGCTGCTGAACTACATATTATTCATCATTTATTGTTCTTTTAAATATCTAAATTATAAATCATAGCCAAGAATAAATATGCTTAAACAAATTATTAAATTATGCAATTGAAATTTTCAAATTGAATAATGAAGTAACAATTCTCTAATTCTTTAAGCAGGACATATATCCTATATCAAATTACTTTTACAGTCATTCAATCTACAGTAACTTGTACACAATATTTTATCAATAGTTAATTCTCAGTGTTTAATACTTTAAATAAACAACATTATAGATATTATTTAATCTTCTAACAATTGATGAGGAAATAACTGGAGGTCCCAAGAGCCTATTTTTCTGATAAGTTCTTAATAAATATAATTCATGATTAACTCATGAAAGACTTAGCAACCTGGCCTGTTTAATCAAGTCTCTACCGAGATAACTACAAGTGTTACACAAATTTAAATCTGTGTTATTGTCTGACTTAAGGGCTCAGAATAACTTCCTTAATAAACAAAACTTTACCAACTCACACTCTCATATTCTTTAGCTTAGTAATTAATAAAGCACTTGACTCAATTTCTCTTGATGCTTGGGTTAGCTGTTCCCCAAGGCGTGCAATCTCAGCCTCCCTTTCTTTCACTTCCTGCCAAAAAATAGAGTGCTAAATGATCCTGATACAAATAACATCAAAGTTCCAATTACTGTAAATAATTTCATCAAATAAACATCATTTCCCCCCCTATTAGATTACCAGCTTTCATGTTAAATATGGTAGAGAAACAAAGACATACCTGTTCTAGCCGTGAGATCTGTGTTACGTAATCTTGAGTGTGTTGTGTATAACCAGGAGGTACATTGGATCTTTGCAACAACATGGCCCTCAGTCTCTGAAGTTGCTCTTCACGCTCACTCACAACTTCCTGGTTTATTGAAGTTCATAAGAATACATTATCCTCATATGATCATCATCATTACCCAAATTTCCATTATCATATGGTGTGGAGTAATGAGAAGATTAAATATATTCAAAGGGCACTTCCATTCATCCTATATTCCACACCGACCAGCATCAGATAAAATCGGCACCATCACACTTCAGAAAAAGAGCCATGGCAGTTCCACACAAATTTCATGTGACTAGGTTTAATAATAAATCCCATCCTCCTGTTTTGGTAGTACTTAGAGTAACGATGATGACCATAGTATATATACCCACATAGAACAAAATTAGAAAGTGGAAATCTGAACTATTGAGTTGGACAAACCGGAAAACTATTTTTTACTTATGTTGCTTTGACAAACTAAACTAATCTAACCTAACCTTCATAGGCCTAATACACGATATCTGAGGCCAAATATAGTACATGTGTGTAATACTAGGCCTAGGAATATTTAAGTTTTTTAGCTTCATTTATTTTAAAATAATTCCTTACCAGTCAGTATACTACTATCTAAAAGCCAAGTACATACGAATTCGTGACTACTGACGACCATCACAATAGGTACTATCTAAACAGGAGGATGGGTTGAATAATACCAGTACTGTCCTTACAGGTACACAGTACATCAAGATCTATCATTCTTGCAATTAAATCAGATCAGTAATGATGATGATTGTTCTTTATGGTCCATGCACTTCATGAAGGTTTTCTTCTCCCAATAACTGCATCTGTGGTAATGTTGGGAATGCATCACACTGGAGTGGGAATGTTTATGAGCTGGCAAGGTTTGAGTGTAGTTAGTGTTGCCAGTTGATGCAAGGCCAACAATAAAACTAGACATGTTTTAGAGTTATCCGTGATGCATAGGGGCAGGGGGCTAGATGATAATAATAATGTTTATTCAGGTAAAAGTACATACATTCAAAATGAGTTACAAACAGAATGTTGGATTTCTAGATAGAGCTAGTACATACTATGCCTAAAGCCACTTATACGCACAGCATTTTGGACAAGATGTGTTGATGATGTCAGCTGATTGTTGCTGTTCTTTGTAGCTAGGGTTCAGCTTTCTATGTATGGCTGTTTGGGTGATTTTGAGTTATATGAAGAAAATGTCTAGTTTTTTGATTGACTAGATATTTAGTCGATGCTTTGACTGCTTGATATTTTTCCATGTAGTGAGAGGTCTCTTCCCCCTAATATGTGCTCGATAATCCGGTCCCAAGGCACTTTGAGGGTAATGAGTACTTGTTGGAAATTAATTCTGGCACTATTATGTCTGAAACAATGAAGGAGGTAATGTTCAATTGTCTCTGGAAAAATGGTAGTGGATGCAAGATTCATGTTTATTTTATATTTATTGTTGTGTGATGCTAGTTTGATGTCTCCCAGCCTTGCTCTGGTGATTGTTATATTTATTGTAATTGGTTTTGTAATTCAAAAATGTTGAGAGGTATGTGGGGGAAATACTTGCAGGAGGAATCTATTTAATTTTATATTAATATTAATTTGATTGTGAACTGTAAATTAACTAGTGAAGAAGTGGGCTGTATATTGTTAAATTTCCTCACAAACATATTCCACAAACTTTGGGGGTTCAAATTGTTGTTAGAGAAAAGAAGAAACTCAACCAGAGAGCAGGCAAGCTCAGGCAGCACAAGAGCATGCCAAAGGTGAAACAGCACCAGAAGCTTGCAAAACGAACACGGCCCTAAGGAAAACGACAACCACAAATGCAAGCCAGAATGACCCCCACTAATGCTGCACAAGAAGAGGTGATAGCATTTGGCAAAAAACACTGACCTAGAAACAGCTAAAAGAAAGAACAAAACAACCCACTAGAACAGAAGACAACAACAAAAGGTCAAAAAAATGGCAAAAAGACCACCAAGAGTCCAAACCGTCGCCAGGAGAACCACAGGTGGAACATCTAAAACAAACCACCCGATCACCACAGAAAATGCGATACACACACGTCAACACACCAGACACGGAGAGTAAAGAGAAGGCCGAACCTGCAAGGAACTTCACCCGCCCCACCTTCTGATGAAGGCGGAGCCGCGGACTTTTCCGCAGATTGAACAGTTGATGCCGTTTCCTTCAATGGCTTTTCGGGATATACAGGCGCCTGAATATGGACCTATTTGACTACCTCTGGAAATATGACTTAGAATAAAGGCAAAGAACGAGACCCAGAACCAAACCCGAGGGGGAGCAACCGAGCTATCATATTCATACATAAAATGGGATAAGAAAAATTATCCCCCCTGAAGCAAAATCCCTTCTTCAGAGGGAACCAAGATCCAAGACTAGATGAAAACCACCCTTGGACTCTCTTCTGCCACCTCAACCACCCCTTCTTCCCCTCACAGCCCTGGAAGCCACTCATGACAGCTCTGGAGCAATCTTTGTTATCTTGAGGTTATCTTGAGATGATTTTGGGACTTAGCGTCCCTGGCCCGGTCCTCGACCAGGCTTCCTTTTTGTTACACACCCCCAGGAAGCAGCCCATAGCAGCTGTCTAACTCCCAGGTACCTATTTACTGCTAGGTGAACAGGAGCATCAGGGTGAAAGAAACTCTGCCCATTTGTTTCCGCCTCCAGGGAGCCGGTCGGCCGAGCGGACAGCACGCTGGACTTGTGATCCTGTGGTCCTGGGTTCAATCCCAGGCACCGGCGAGAAACATTGGGCAGAGTTTCTTTCACCCTATGCCCCTGTTACCTAGCAGTAAAATAGGTACCTGGGTGTTAGACAGCTGTCACGGGCTGCTTCCTGGGGGTGGAGGCCTGGTTGAGGACCAGGCCGCGGGGACACTAAAAAGCCCCGAAATCATCTCAAGATAACCTCCACCAGGGATCGAACCCGGAACCTCAGGACTACGAATCCGAAGCGCTGTCCACCTAGCTGTCAGGCCCCAATGGCATAATCTTCACTCAATGGCATAAACCCCATCAGCAATGGCATAAACCCCATCAGCAATGGCATAAACCCCATCAGCAATGGCATAAACCCCATCAGCAATGGCATAAACCCCATCAGCAATGGCATAAACCCCATCAGCAATGGCATAAACCCCATCAGCAATGGCATAAACCCCATCAGCAATGGCATAATTCTCACTCAACACCTACAGCAGAAGGGTCTCCCAAGGAGAAGGGCCAGAGCAGTGGTGGCAAGGTGGTTGTGAAGCTGAAGGCCATGAAACCCCAGCGGGACCTAAAGACTCGACTGCCTCCATGGGGGCCACGCCCAGAGAAGACCGAGCTACACCCCAACCTAAACCCTGACTGACTCCAAAACCCTCAAATACTTGAGAGCTGGAACCAGGAGGAGAAGGGAAAAGTAGGGCAAACCACACCTGCAGGGAAAGGCAGTGGAGGTGTGAACTTAGTCCAGGTGGAGGACACCTATACCTTCAATTCCAGGTCCTTAAACACCATAAGGGTCAACTCCACAGTATCCAAATTATCATAATTTCATGAACGCCTAATGTGAACAAGTTTAGCTCGCAAAGCGGCAACTGCCTTGAAAGCTTCCAGACTCAAAACCGAATCAAAGTACAGTAGAGACCCAATGGGAGAAACCTCACAAGACTGAGGATCATAGGTGTCATTGACCAAATATGCAGCATGGCAGAGGCAGAAACAATGATCATCAGCAAGCCAAGACAATGAGAACCTTTCAAGCTTGTACTTTGCAAGTGCTGGCTCACCAGGCCGATCCATAACAGACTACATCAGAGACCCGCTAGGGAAGTATCAAGGCCTGAAGGCTGTTAACCAAGCAGGATACCCAGGCACCGGGGCTGTTTGCTAGAAGAACAGACACCAAACACACCCAAAACAACCAGGATATGATTGGAGACCACAGCATGCTACAAACAAGCATGCAAAACCCCAGTGCACTCCAGCACAACCAATAGGATGCCTCCAGCCAAGGACCCAAACAGAGGAGGCAAAGATCCTTGAATAGCTCAAGGCGAGGCTCTTTCCCAGGCCTCTCAGAGAGCAAACTCCTGAATACCAGAGAAGGTAACTGTCAGTGCCAGAGAAGTGTTAGCGAGCACCCAGGGAAGAAAACCATGAGCACATGCAGCTTGAAGTGCAATAAATGCGAAGTCAATACAACAAGCCAGAGACAACATGCACATGATGCAGAATACTAAAAGAATGTTACAAAATATGAAGCAAATGACCCACAGGAAAAAGTCCAACAATGGCCACCACTTATCTTAAAGCAGAGGGACCCGTCATGTCTGATGGACCCAGAGCACCACAGGTAGAATTTTTACCAGAATATCAGCGACAACTGACCAAGGAAAGTTAGCTGCAGGCAGGGGCTGAGATGCCAAGTGATGGGGGTCAGTACTAATGAGTTTTCATGCTAATTTGAGTAAATCTCATTCCAGGTGAATCATTTCCAGAGTTGTTTGGTGGTTTTGAGGCTTCGTCTTCTGTGAACCCTTCAGTTGTCTGTAAAGCTTTGGTAACTTTTTAATGCTTTCCCAGTGGGGTTGGCAAATTGTTATTCACTCTTTGCACCCCTGTGAGGGGGCCCCTGGGGTTCTGGCTCTGGTCTCTGGGGGGCCAAACAGAACTCCTGCATTTGATATGACCAATTAGAATGGATCAATCTTGGTTGGGGGGCTGCCCCAGAAAGCAGATATGTAGTGCATGGCCGGGACAGACATTGAGCAAATTGAACATACGATACTGAGGCAAGTGACCACTACATTTTGTCTTTAAATACATTATATAGTAACCAGAATGCTATTATTATTTCTACTTGCAACCAATGACAAATAATTATCTATCATAATTGCAATCTCAGTAAAAAGATAGACAACCTACCTTCAACTGATCAACTTTGGAATCCACAGCAGTACTAAGTTCATCAAAATTCTGCTGTATACGAGATTTATCAACAGTCATTTCTTCTATGCAACTCCTTAACCCTTCTATCTCTTCTCGTGCTGCTGCCAGACTCTCTGATTTACATGAAAAATAATGATAAATCATTTGAATTATAAACTAAAAAATCTTATTATTAAACAAGCTACAACAAATAACATTTGAATATCAACAAGAATGTTCTACAAAACCAAAATCTGTGTTAAACAAACCCAAGATGATGCCATTGTCATTTCCCAAGTTCAGGGTATTGTACTTATAACATTAAACTTTATCTACTATTTTTCTGCCCACTTATGCAAAGTGAAGAGGTCTTTCCAAAGTTCCACAGAGTCCTCATTCCAGTTTATTATTCTCCCCACTTTTGTGTCATCTGCTAACTTGCCGATACCTGGTGTAACTATTCAACCCAACACCCGAGTCATTAACAGAGAGTACGAACAACAAAAGGTCTTCAATATACACCCTTGGGGAATATCACGTGTGACATTTCACAACTTCAACATCACCTCGTTGATGTAACTCTTTGTCTTTGCTTTCTAACCTGCTTGCTTGATACCTGCTTGATGGGGTTCTGGGAGTTCTTCTATTCCCCAAGCCCGGCCCGAGGCCAGGCTCGACTTGTGAGAGTTTGGTCCACCAGGCTGTTGCTTGGAGTGGCCCGCAGGGCCATATACCCACCACAGCCCGGCTGATCCGGAACTTCTCTTAGAAAACCGTCCAGTTTTCTCTTGAAGATGTCCACGGTTGTTCCGGCAATATTTCTTATAGTCGCTGGGAGGACATTGAAGAACCGCGGACCTCTGATGTTTATACAGTGCTCTCTGATTGTGCCTATGGCACCTCTGCTCTTCACTGGTTCAATCTTGCATGTTCTTACATATCGTTCACTCCAGTACGTTGTTATTTTACTGTGTAGATTTGGTACTTGGCCCTCCAGTATCTTCCAGGTGTATATTATTTGATATCTCTCTCGTCTCCTTTCTAGAGAGTACATTTGGAGAGCTTTGAGACGATCCCAATAATTTAGGTGTTTTAACTCGTCTATGCGTGCCGTATATGTTCTCTGTATTCCCTCTACTTCAGCAATCTCTCCTGCTCTGAAGGGGGAAGTGAGTACTGAGCAGTACTCGAAACGGGACAACACAAGTGACTTGGAGAGTACAACCATTGTAATGGGATCCCTGGATTTGAAAGTTATCGTAATCCATCCGATCATTTTTCTGGCTGACGCAATATTTGTTTAGTTATGCTCCCTAAACGTTAGATCATCGGACATCATTATTCCCAAATCCTTGACATGCTGTTTTTCTACTATGGGAAGATTCGATTGTGTTTTGTACCCTGTATTATGTTTCAAATCCTCATTTTTGCCATACCTGAGTACCTGAAATTTATCACTGTTAAACATCATGTTATTTTCTGCTGGCCAATCGAAAACTTTGTTGACATCTGCTTGTAGTTTTCCAGCAGTTTGTAGTTTGTAGTAACTTTCAACCAGGCTCTTATCCAAATGAGAACTTTCTTAGCAATCTCTCCTTACTCACTAAACTATCTCAAATGAAAAAAGTTATTCTACGTGAATTTTATGTGATCATCATAATCAAACAGTCACTTGTTAAAAGAAATGTCAGTCACAAGTGACATTTTATGAAAACTCATGAAAATCTCAATTTCTTGACAAACTGAAACCACTCATAAACAATAATTTTCAACACTAAAGATACGATTGATTGTTGGGAAAGGTGATTTTTCTTTAAATACTGTAGCTAAAAAAAAATTTACAGCATCATCTTAATGCATATGATTTCCAAGAATATTTAGTACCAAAAGCATACCTATCATATGGACGATAGGTATAAAAGGAGACCCGGAGGCTCCCCTGGAACTATTGGATTGATATTAGCTACTATTAGTACTAGGCTTCAGTCTTATGGAGTTGTCATGCCTACCGGGTACCACTAGCTAGAACATTGTCCCTTCAGAGAGGCGAAGGGAGCAATGGCCTATGGTCAGGGAGCAATGGTCAGATGTACCCGATCCCCAGGCAGCATGTGTCCCCGACCCCCCCCAGGCAGCAGGTGTCCCAGACCCCCAGAAAGCATGACGGAGGCAGGATGGATGATCATCTCCCTGAGGCACGGGCGACGAACAACCCTCAAATTCGCCCAAGACAGGAGTGAGCCCAGAAGTATCATGACATGACCGAGCCCACAGGGGTTTTCTAGGGCCCTTGGAGTGAATAAGCCCTATGGGAAGCTCAGGCATTGGGGCCAGCAAAGCAGTAAACCCTGTCTAAAGCAGGCATACTGACTGCAAGTAGCAGTCTTGAAACCTTGGGGGTAACAAGAGGAGGACCACCATCATAACTTAGGCTAAGCCTAATAAGGAGCTAGGCAAACCTCCACTGCCACAACGGGTAGAATACCAAAATGAAAACAAAAGACAAACCCTGAAATCAGACAAGCAAACAAGCAGCCAAAGAGAAACATCAGCCACTTCATTGATAGTAAAGCAGGGCATGCTAGTCACAATGCGCCCCACCAGCACACACACCCCTACCCAGGGTAAGGCAGAAAGTCCAAGACACCCGACTCACCCCAAGGGTGAGGACAATCACAAGCCAGAAAGCCCCTCTAACGGGGAGCATTTTCCGAACGTGCCAGGGACGATAACCCCGAGGCGCAAGAGCAGTACAGTACTTATGGAGTACCTAGGGAGGGGAACCCTAGGAGCATGCTCCTCAAGTACTCCAAACTCCTGGCATCACGCACCCCTCTGTTTCACAACACCATCACAAGGGCAAAATATCAAAGAAAATGGGAACACAGAGCCAGAGCGAAAGCAACCATTCTGCATAGCATCAGTCAAAGAACTGGAGGTTGGCGGCCGGACCTATCAAGGCCAGCTTCCCCTGTAGGGGTGGTGGAGCTAACGAGCGGGGGTTAGTTGGACGATGATTTGCTTGTTTTTTGCTTTTGAGAGGAGTTCTTTTGTGCTTGCGAGGACGTAGCTTGGAATTATTAACCAGACAATAGTCCATTTCGATTTGCCTACCTTTCTGGGTCCTTCCTTGGTCAATGGCAAGATGACTTACTTTAAATGTAAAGTATTCATATTTATTGCTCCCTTCGCCTCTCTGAGGAGGTCAGGTTCTGGCTCATGGTCCCTGGTGGACTTACAATGAACTCTGACTGATGCCACTCAAGTAGAAGGTACTTGATTAGTCAGATAGCTTCAGGGAGCTGACGGGCCTTCCCCCAGAAAAATAATCATTTATGAAATATCTCTACGTGACCTTTCCAAGCCAAATAAGAAATGGGTTTTAAGAACACAATGATGTTACAAGATGAAATCAAGCAACACATTACCTTGAGCATGACTGTGGGACTCCTTCAGAGCCAAGTAATCTGCAGTGATGCTGTTTATTTCCTTTGTGGCTTCAGTTAAGCGATCTTCTAGCTCAAGTGCAGATGACTGAAGATAGGCCCGCTGATTTTCACAGGCCTACAAGAAGGAATTCAAACTTCAGCAAATTGTAAATGAAGTCATATGAATCTTCAATGTACTATGTAAGCACCCCAGTTATTTAGTAAAATTATTTTTGAAAGAAAAAGAGGAAACAAAAATCAAAGAGCAATTTATTCTTTTAGAACAGTACGAAGCATTTGTAGGTAAGCCAAGTCAGTGATCCACAGCACCAGTACTGTATTGCACGCCTGTCCTAGCCTAGCTGCACATAGTCATGGTCCAACATTCAAGTAATTGCGGACAACATTAAACTCGTATTGTTTACTAAATAAGACTGGTTGCGACTAACTGTTGATGCCTGATTGGATTTGACTGGTTGTGACTGCCTGACTTCTGGTGGATGTAAATGCCTGACTGGTTCTGACTGTCAATGCCTGACTTTCTATAAATGCCTCTGCCAGTGACTGCCTGTGAATGCCTGACTTGTCGAGACAGTAAATGCTGACTGCCTGTGAGTGCCAGGTTTGTTGTAACTGTAAATGCCTGTGACTGGTTGCAACAAACTGTGAATGCCTGACTGGCTGTGAATGGCTCTGACTGGCTGCTACACAACAGAAGCAGTGAAACTCATGAAGGGAAAATGTAACCGTTGGACAAGCAAGGGCAAAAATATGACAACAAACCCAACAGTGGCCTCCAATTTAACAAGCACTGGACTCTGTAAACTCAATACCATACTCTGGATTTAAAGGCCAATGACTTGGTTATCTTATCTTGAGGTTATCTTGATTTAAAAGCCAATGACTTGGTTATCTTATCTTGAGGTTATCTTGAGATGATTGTGGGGCTTAACATCCGTGTGGCCCGGTCCTCGACCAGACTTTCTTTTTTTTTACACATCCTTAGGAAGCAACCCATAGCCGCTGTCTAACTCCAAGGCACCTATTTACTGCTAGGTAAACAGGAGCATCAGGGTGAAAGAAACTCTGCCTATTTGTTTCTGCCTCCGCCGGGTGGGGATCAAACCCGGAACCTTTGAACTATGAATCCCGAGCGCTGTCCACTCAGCCATCAGGCCCTTTGGTTAATAAGGCTCATTATTAATCCCAAATTTGGTTCTTACAACTGGTGAAACAGTAAGACAGAGGGCCTTAAATCGAGTGGATGCTACTTTTAAAACTTTTGTTTTTTCCGTACCAAAATAACTGGGGCCTTACCTGCCGAGTTATTGTCTGGTATTTTGCTAGTACTGTATCTAAGATTCTTGTCAATCAAGATGGCTCTGCCATAAACTCCTGTTGTGGCACCAGACTTTAGTCATGGTGTAATTACCCAAGTGTACTTACAGGATGAGACCTAGGCTCGTGGTGTCCCAGTCTTTCCAGTACGCTTTGTCGTATAGCGCTTTGAAACTACTGACGGTTTTGGCCTCTACGTTCTCACTTAGCTAGTTCCAACCGTCTACCACTTTGTTCGCAACAGAAAACTTTTTCATGTTTTTCAGCACCTTTGTTTTCTTGGCTTGAATTTTGTGTCCACTTGTTCGTTGCTGGTTTCAGGAATACCTCTTTGTCAATTTGGTTGATTCTCGTTAGTATTTTGTAAGTGGTGATCATATCGCCTTTTATTTCATCTTTCTTCTAGTTTTGGCATGTTTAACGCCTCTAGTCTCTCTCCTTGTAACTCTTGTTTTTCAGTTCTCGAAGCCATTTGATAGCATGCTTTTGCAACTTTTCCAGTTTTTTTATGCGCTTCTTGAGATTTGGGCACCATACAACTGCTGCATATTCCAATTTTACCCTCATAAAAGTCATGAACAGTTTCTTTAGTATTCATCATCCGTACGGTTAAAAGCAAGTCTGAAGTTGGAAAGTGATGCATATGCTCCTCTTACAATGTTCTTTATATATTCCTCTGGCAACAGCTTAGTATTCAAAACCACCCCTAGAGCTCCTTTATTAGAGTTCTTTAATTCATTTCTACATAATTTGTAAGTTGTGTGTGGTCTTTTTTCTCTGACATCACAATCCAAAGCTTGGCATTTATTCACATTGAATTCCATTTGCCACTTTATGCTCCAAGCACTTGTTTTATATAGATCATTTAGAAGGGCATTACAATCGTATGCATCTCCTATCTTCCCCAGTATCTTAGCATCATCTGCAAACATGTTCATATAATTATATATTCCTTCTGGTAGATCATTTATGTAGACAATGAACATTACTGGTGCAAGAACTGAACCCTGTGGTACTCTGCTAATAACACTTCTCCAGTCAGATACATTGTCTATGATTACCACTCTCATCTGTCAAAAAATTTTTCATCGATGTCAGAAGTCTCTCTGTCACCCTCCTCCAGCATGTTCCAGTTTCCAGAACAGCCTCTTGTGTGGAACTCCATCAAAAGCCTTTTTTAGGTTCAGATAGACACAATCAACCCAACTACCTCTTTCCTGCATTATCTCTGTGGCTCTATATAAAAACTAAGTAGACTTGTCAGCCATGAGAAGTCATTCATTGCAGCATTCTTAATTCACTGCTGGTGCTCTTATAATCTTTACCTATAATCTTTGTCTCACTTAAACCAAGTACAGTACTGTACACAGTAAAACATACTTTTCTTAAAAACTTTCCCCAACTTCCATTCTGCTTTTTTCCATTTATTCCTCTCACATATCTCACAGCCATTACCTTTGTTTTCCAAGGTTAGGACATGCATAAGCCAAATATTGGTGACTATTTTTACCATTTGTGGAGAGTATCTCGGGAAGACAGATCAGCCCAATCATCCCACCCCTTTATAAGGAGAGAATACAGCACTATTTTCACTAGATGAAAAATTATGAGAAACATTATGCTTTAGCTATAAAAACTGAATACAATCTGTCATACATAGATAAAGCATTAATTTCAACATCCAATTATAAATATATTATAAAGTCTGTTAAAACTTTTACATAGTTAACAATTTTCTGTAATATAGTATTCAGTGGATTACTGTGCTATGAAAAATACATGAAAAGACATGAGTAAATTCACTAAGTCCCTTCAAATAAACATATTGCAGAAGAATACATTGAGACTCATCACAATAAAATACATTATACAGTACTGTACTGTATATCTGAAAATATAAAATGTTACACACTTGCAAATTATCCATGAAGTGTAGTATCTCCCAACTTTTCTGATGAAGCTCTTCCTCCATTTCTTTTTTTTTCAGACGCCATCCACTTGACCAATCCTGATGAAATTGAAATTGAAGTAAGTTTATTGAGGTAAAATACACAAAGAGATGAGGTAGCTCGAGCTATCCTCACCCCATTCAGTACAACGTACTCATACATATATACACACACATATATAGTGAGGCCCCACACACAGTGGGGCCTTGTAGCCTGGTGGATAGCGTGCAGGACTCGTAATTCTGTGGCGCGGGTTCGATTCCCGCACGAGGCAGAAACAAATGGGCAAAGTTTCTTTCACCCTAAGTGCCCCTGTTACCTAGCAGTAAATAGGTACCTGGGAGTTAGTCAGCTGTCACGGGCTGCTTCCTGGGGTGTGTGTGTGTGTGTGTGTGTGTGGTGTGGGGGAAAAAAAAAAAAAAAAGTAGTTAGTAAACAGTTGATTGACAGTTGAGAGGCGGGCCGAAAGAGCAAAGCTCAACCCCCGTAAAAACACAACTAGTAAACACACATCACAAACAATAAACATATTACCGAACATTCCGAGAAGAATCCCGATGGTTGAGAAAAGGATTAACAGTGCATTTATCCAAGACAGCTGCTCATTAAATATATCTCTTCCTTAATGTTACAAAATTCAAAATGTGTTTGCAGCATTCAATGTTCTTATGAAATAAAGATCTTGCCTCATTTCATTCTACCAAAAGAAAATATGTATTAAAAATATATCTTAACCACTGAACTATACAACGCACCTGCAGGCGCTCGATAGTGTGCAACACGCCTCCGGGATCTTATATTTTTAGTGTATGAATCAAAACTCCCGTGGCTACATAGGGTTCACATCAGCTTCCTCAGGGCTCTTGTAAACAAATGCCATTTAAAAAAAAACCAGCGTTGAATGTAATGAAACGCCATTTTCTGGGTGAGTCCCGGAGGCTCCCCGGAGCTATCCCAGGCTGATATGCTAATGTCAGACTTTGGCATCAGTCATGTGTATGGAGTTCTTAGGCCTACCGGGGACCACGGCCAGAACCGGGCCCCCTCAGAGAGGCAAGGGGAGCAATGGCCTATAGAAGCCCCCGTGTAGTTGGAAGCATTCTATGTCTGCCATCGACCGGAACAGGCACCCAGAAAGGTAAGCGCCCCAAAACAAACCCCTATTCTGGTTAAAATTGCTACCTAATACCGAACTAGTGGATAGAACTCCCCAACCGAAAACAAGCAAATTAGTGTGACGTCACACACTGCCGCGCCGCTGTCTGCGCAGCTCCCCCCTCCCCGGGAGGGGGAAGGGGGAGCCCCAGACCCCCCGCGCCGGCTACCCACACCTCAGTTCTTGAGGCTGGATGTCAAAAACGCGAAAAACCGCCGACCGGAGGGAGGGAGGGATGCTGGGGAGCCTCCGGGACTCACCCAGAAAATGGCGTTTCATTACATTCAACGCTGGTTTTCTGGGGGGAGCCCCGTCGGCTCCCCGGAGCTAACTACCCACAGACAGAAAAAGAGGGACTTACCCGGGAGGCGGTCGTCGCTCACCCCTCAACTCGAAGCCGAGACAACTGGCTGCAACCGCCGACCCAAAGCAACACAGGCCCGACGAGGCCCAGGGACATTCACAAGGTAACGAGCAGCCAGGACCCTGTTCGACCGCCAAAATCCCCGCGCCCGAATATCAGACCAAGACATATTCCCAAAGACGGCAGCAAGAGCCGCGAACTTACGAACGTCATGGGCACGGGGATAGACCGCAGGCTGGCTGGACCTAATAACCCTGTGGACGACCTGAGAGACCCGAACCCGCGAACTGGGAAGAAGGGAAACCGGATCAACCCACAGCGCGTCCCCGGACACAGAAGCTGTGGCGCGCAAATAACGGCGAAGCGCCGCAACCGGACACAAAACATGATGCACCCCCAGCCTGACCAACCAAGCATCAACCACCCATGGACCCCTCCGGAACGCAGCAGTCTCATTCTTCGCCAGAAAAGAAGGAGACGGCTGCAAACGAACAAAACTATCACCACGACCAAAAGAGCAGAAACCCCTTTGCCGGAGGAGAGCATGAAGCTCCCCTACCCGACCCCCAGAGGCCAAAGCCAACAAGAAAAGTGCCTTGGAAAAACAATCCTGGACCGAAGGGGCCACAACGAAACGAGGAGATGAAAGGAAAGCGAGCACTCTGTCCAAAGACCAGGACGGCTCAGGCGACGCATGAGCAGGCCGGAGGTGAAACAATGCACGAGACAGCTTGCGAAACGGCGCAGACGTAACATCGATACCGAAAGCAAGCTGAAGCGGCTCCGCCAGCGCCGCACGATACGAAGCGACAGTGTTAGGCATAAGATGACGGTCCTGAAACAACCACGAGAGGAAGGACAAGACCACCCGAACAGACAAGGAGCTAACACGACGAAGACGCAAAAAGAAACGGAAGGACCGCCAGGAAACTTCATACTGCCGCCGAGAAGAAGCCCTCAGGTGGGACACCAACAAGGAGGCCACCTGATCACCATAGAGATGATGATAGACTCGAGTCAAAAAAACCATACGCGAAGACTCGAGGAGAAGATCGAACCAGCTACGTGACGTACCGGCCCGATCTGCTGAAAGAGGCGGAGCCGCGGGAAAACCCTCGGGTTCGGACACCGAGCAACCAGCGCCTGAGACCAAGGCTGGGCCGGCCACCAAGGGGCCAGAAGGACAACTCTCCCCCGGTAAGTCTCTAAGCGAGTCAGGACCTGGAGCAACAGCCGAACTGGGGGAAAGAGGTACAGGAACCCCCACCTCGACCAGTCGAGCCGAAAGGCATCGACCCCGACGGCCTCGCAATCGGGGAAGGGCGCCGCATAAACGGGAAGACGCCGCGACCACGCCGACGCGAAGAGGTCCACTTCGGGGCGCCCGAACGTCTGGCAAAGCCAACGGAAGGACTCGTCGTCGACCGTCCACTCCGTGGAGAGGGGAACGAAGCGAGACAGGGCGTCGGCCAAGACGTTGGACACGCCCCGTACGTGAACCGCCAGGAGAGCCAAACCCCGAGAACTCAGCAGACGAGTCACCCGAAGCGACCAACCCCAAAGAGACAAGGACCGCATCGAACCCCCGCGGTTCAGGCAATGAACCACCGGAGAGCAGTCCGAATGGAGCCGAATCGTCGATCCGCGGGCCACCCGAATCCTCCCCAGAGCAAACCACACTGCCGCGAACTCCCGCACCGTACTGTGAGCTCGACGGAAGGACGGATCCCAACGCCCCTGGCCGGCCTGGTGAGCACTGGTCACAAAACCCCAGCCGAGAGACGACGCATCCGTGTACACATCGAGCGAGGGCTCGGGTAGGCGCCAAGGCACTGAACCCCGAAAAACCCGAAGAGGAAGCCGGTGACGCAGCAACCGACGCAAGGCCCCCGGGGGTCGAACTCTGCGATCGCGAGAGAGGCGGAAGGGGGAACCCCGAAGGAACCAGAACAGCCGTCGAAGCCAAACCCGACCCGGCGGGTAGACCACCATCGCGAAGTTCAGGCTCCCGCACAGCCCCTCGAGCAACCGCCGGGTGACCCGAGGGCCCTCCAGAAACAGACGAAGGCGGGACCGCAGCCGCAGGAGAGACTCCGGAGGGAGAGACAAGGAGGCGGTCCGAGAGTCCCACACGAGACCCAGCCAAGTCCGAACCTGAGAGGGAACCAGATGGGACTTCCTCCAGTTCACCAAGAACCCGAACCCGGCGAGCTGGGAAAGAACCAAATCCCTGGCTAGCAAGCAAGCTGACTGGCTGGGAGCCCAAACCAGCCAGTCGTCGAGGTAGGCCAACACCCGAACACCTAGGAGACGCAAACGAGCCACCACAACCCGTGTAAGGCGTGTGAACACGCGAGGTGCCAGGTTCAACCCGAACGGGAGACAACGAAAGCGGTAACTCAGACGCCCCACTACAAAACCGAGCCAGTCCCGGAACCGCGGATGAATCGGGACATGCCAATAAGCGTCCCGGAGGTCCAGGGACACCATCCAAGCACCCGGCTCCAAGAGGAGCCGAACCTGAGACAGCGTAGTCATCCGAAAGGAGGGGCAATGAACCCAGGGGTTCAGACGGGACAAGTCCAGAATGAACCGCAGGTCCGCGCAGTCCCGTTTCGGAACCGGAAACAGACGGGAAACCCATCTGAGGGACGACGTCGTTTCGACGACGCCCAAGCGTACCCACTCCAAGACGACTCGACAGAGTGCAGGGGAAGAAGCCTGCCCCGCCAGCCCCGACCCCCCAAAGGGGGGAGGGGCCACCCAACGCCACCGCAGGCCGCGAGACACGACCCGAAAGGCCCACGAATCGTGGGACCAGGCGCGGGCGAACAGCGCAAGCCGCCCCCCCATCGCCCCGTCAAAGGGGCAAACCGCGAAAAGGCCGGCGACCCTTACGAGACCCAGAACCCCGCACAGCGCGAACACCGCGCCGACCAGACGAGGGAGGGTCCGCAGGAGGAGCCAACCCCAAACCTGACACCAGAGGCCTACCACGACGAGAGGAACCCCGAGCCCTGGCACGACCTTTCCGGGAAGACCCACCCCGGGACCCCTGGAAAACCAACAAGTCCGACATCGGACGACAAGCCGCCGACGCAGCCTGAATAAACTGCGCCACGGCCGACTCCCCAAACAGGAGAGGACAAAAAGGGGAAGAACGCCTAAGAGCCAGAGCCCAAGCAGATTCCACGGAGGAACCCAGCACCGCCTGCCGACACGCGAGACGGGAAGCATAGAACAGGGAAACCGCATCCCGCAAAATCGGCGTGAACAGCTTCAACAAGGCAGCCGACGAACGCGCAGCCGAGGACAAGGTGCCGGACCCCGGGACGGACCCAAGCGTCCCCACATCCTCCACGAGCCAATCCGAAGACAGCTCCAGGAGGGAAAAGAACCGTAAGGCCGAACACAAAAGGCCCCGAGCGCGCAAGTCCTCCGCCACGAGCGCCGCCGAAAGGGAGGGAACCTGCACATGGAGCTGAATAACGCCCACATCGCGGGGAAGGGCAGGGGCAAACAAGCACTCATTCAGGTAC